ACCAGTTGTTTCAGTGGGGTCGTTTAGTGCTGAGTCACAGCAGTTTGTCTGCGAGAAGCAGGCGAACGTGAGCTTGAATTCAGCCGATCCGGGCTTGGTGTGTGTTGTGAGAGGCCCAGATTGTTCACCCCAGATCCACATCAGCTCATCATTGCCTAGTGATCCTGAGCAAACAGCATTTAGATGGATTACGACTCCCTATGCCCGTGCAGCTGAAGAGGTCAGAGACTTGATCTCTCCACGCCCGCCGCCATGTTGGATCTCTCCAAGAGTCAGTGATTTCAAAGTGGCCTTCAAGTTCCTGCAAAGTAATTAGATAGTCATTATCATCATAACTCCTATATCAAGGTATATCTACAGCAGAACTAGTGAGAGACAATAATAACATTGTTCAAATGCATGACTGCCAAAATTAAAAATAAATCTATTTTTAAAGCCAACTGAAATGAAGTAACTAAAAGCATGGGAAGCTAGAGGGTTTATTCTGGTCCTCAACTCTCTTACCCTTCCCTACCATAGGTTTTAAGACTCTTCTATGCCCTGCATATGTTCTTGTACCTTTATCAAAAAATCTGTAAGTGCATTCATCTGTTGTCTCTGCTTATGCCAGGACCATGCTGTTTTGATCACTATAGCTTTGTGGTATATTTTGAAATTAAGGTAGTATGAGGCTTCCTCCAACTTTATTTTTTGTTGTTGTTTTTTGTTGTTGTTGTTTTAACTTAATATTGCTTTGGTCATTTGAGTCTTTTGTGGTTCCATGTGAATTTTTTGGATTATTCTATTTCTGTAAAAAATGGCATTGGTATTGTGATAAGGCTTTCATTTACTCTAGATTGTTTTGGATAATATGGGCATTTAATGTTCTTCTAATTCATGAGCATAGGATATTCTTTTCAGTCATTTTTTTCAGTTTCTTTCATCAATGTTTTATAGTTTTCAATATAGAGATCTGTTACTTCTTGATTAAATTTATTATTCAGTACTTATCTATATTTTGTAGTGACTATAAATGGAATTATTTTCTTCTTTTTCATATACCTCCCTATTATGCATGGGTATGCTACTGAATTTGATGTGTTGATTTTCTAGTTTTGTATTTGCTAAATCTGTTTATTAGATCTAATGGTTTTTTCATGGAGCCTTTAAGGTTTTCTGTATATAAGATCATGTCATCTGTAAACAGGGACATTTAACTTCTTCCTTTCCAGCTTGGATTCCTTTCCTTCTCTTGCCTGATTGCTGCAGCCAGGATCTCCAGTGCTATATTGAACAGGAGTGACAAGAATGGGCATCTTTGTCTTGTTCCAGAGCTTTCAGGTTTCAGTGTGAAATTAGCTATGGGTTTATAATATTATTATGGCCTTTATTGTGTTAAGGAATGTTCCTTATCTACCTAATTTATTGAGTTCTTATCATGAAAGGATGTTGAATTTTGTCAAATGTCTTTTTCTGCATAAATGGCTTTTGTCCTTCATTCTGTTGATATGATATATCACATCTATTAATTTGCTTTTATGGAACCATCTTTGCATCCCTGGAATGAATTCGACTTGATTATGATAGATGATCATTTTGATGTGTTGGATTCTGTTTGCTGGTATTTTGTTAAGATTTTTGTGTTTATGATTGTCAGGAATATTGGTCTATAGTTTTTTTTTTTCATTTTTAATCATTTATTTATTTATTTTAATATGTTATTTGACAGCTATTTATTCATTTTTTTAGACAAGCTCAGTTCTTTTTTTTTTTTAGTTGCTCATTACAATGATCTTGACATATCATACATTTGATAAGTTTTCTTTTTTATGTCTTTATCTGGTTTTGATACCAGGATGATGTTGGCTTCATAGAATTAAGTTTGAGAGTGTTACTTCCTCTTTAATTTCTTGGAATAGTTTCATAAAATTTGGTATTAGTTCTTTAAATGTTTTGTAGAATTCAGCAGTGAAGTCATCAAGTCCTGGGTTTTTCTTTGATGAAAAACCTTATTACTGTTATAGTTCCCTCAGTTATTGGTCTGTTTGGGTTTTCTGCTTCTTCATGATTCAGTCTTAGTAGGGTTGTATGTGTCCAGGAATTCATCCATTTCTACTAGATTATCTACTTTGTTGGCATGAATTATTTATAATATCATTTTATGATTGTTTGTATTTCTGTGATATTAGTTATAATGTCTCCTTTTTTCTGGTTTTATTTATTTGAGTTTCCTCTCTTTCTTAATCTAGCTAAATTATTATTAACCTTATATTTTTTAAAAAATCAACTTTTGAGCCAGGCAGTGTCATAATGCCTATAATTCCAGGTCTTGAGGAAGCTGAAACAGGAGGATTGCAAATTTGAAACCAGCCTATGCATTAGTAAAACCTTGTCTCAAAAATTTTAAAAAGGGCTGGGAATGTGGCTCAGTAGCAGAATGCTTGCCTAGCAAGATAGAATGTGGCTCAGTGGTTAAGCGCCCTTGGGTTCAATCCTTGGTACAAAAAAAAGGCCAAAAGATCACATATCAACATAATTATAATATTGAGTTTTTTGTTTTGTCTTTTTTAAATACCATATAATGTTGTTTTGGTGATTAGAAATAATTTTAATGTTAGGCTGGGGATATAGCTCAGTTGGTAGAGTGTTGTCTCACATGCACAAGGTCCTGGGTTCAATCCCCAGCACCACAAAAATAATCATAATCATAGTAATTTTAATGCATTAATTAGGTATTATATTTAACAAGAGTAATGGAGAAACAACTTTTGTCAAACAGCTGGAACTCAAACCAAACTGAACCCTGTCTTTAATAGTTCCCTTAGGAGTTTGTTAAAAAATATATATGCCTTGTAAAACTAAAACGAACAAATAAAAAAAATTTTTAAAGAAAAGAAAATATATATGCCTTACTCTTAATTCCATGCTTAACATGTAAGTCCCCTGTAAAGTTTGGTAATAATGGCTGCTAACCTTCACACTTATCTTAGTAGATGCCAAGCACCCTGCCAGGTGCTTTTGTCTGCATATTACCTTTGTTTTCAATTTTACTTTTATGGTACTAGAGATGGGATCCAGGGCCTCCAGGATATATATATATATATATGCTAAGTATATACACTCTACTACCAAGCCACATCCCAGACCTTGTGTTACTTTTGTTTAATACTTACCACCACCTCAGGAACTAAACATTCTCCTAGTATCACTGAGGAAACAGCAAGGCCACCACATTCAATTAGTGGTGTAGCACCCCACTTCCCAGAGCGTTTAAGCTAAAATAAGATCTCCATGGTTGCATGAGTATTAAAAGGGGAATGGGGCTTGAGCCAGATTGCCTTCTTGAAAGCCCACTGTGCTAGATTGCTGGTGGCCTTGTGCTATAGATACATGCCAAGTCAGCAATCTTAGTTTGTCTTGGGGTAAGAGATAATTGAGCAAGGTATAAAGAATCAGTTTTTCATTAAGAGTTCTACTACTCCATCAGTTGGGCATGGTGGCAGACCTGTAATCTCAGCAACTAAGTGAGGCCCTAAGCAATTCAGTGAGACCCTCTCTCAAAATAAAAAATAAATAAATAAAAAGGGCTGGGGATGTGGCTCAGTGGTAAAGCACCCCTGGGTTTAATTCCTGGTACCAAAAAAAAAAAAAAATAGATTTCTACTACTACTCCAACTTATTACATTTTAATTAATATTATCTTTTTTTTAATCATTCCTCTATTTAGAAAAAAATGAAAGTATAGGCCCTTTTATTATTACTAAACTTTTGAGGTATTTCTAAATTTCATGTTTCTAAATCTTTATTTAAATATGAAGGTTTGTATGTTTTGATTTATAGATGTAAACATTTTAATCTTGATGATATTGTACCACTACACAGATCTGTAGTCTATTTTTTTTTTATTTTATAAGATGAAAAGAGGCTTGATTAGTACTCCTCCATCAGATATGCTTCCTACAACAGAAGGTGGAAAGTCAAATGCCTGGTTGCGGCAAAAAAATGCTGGCATATACGTTCGTCCTCGGCTGTTCTCTCCCTATGTGGAAGAAGCAAAGGTACTAAAACCATTTGAAGATATTAGAGAACTTTATTAGAAACCATATGCACAGATATTTATTGTAGAATTATGTAAATATTTGATGTAATAGCCTAAATATCCAGTAATAGGGAACATGAAAGTAAATTCTATTTCAACTACTCAACAGAGTAGGTTTTTGAAATGTTTTAAAACAAATCATTGGGGGGGAGGGGGATAGTAGAGGATAGGAAAGGTAGCAGAATACATCAGTCACTAGTATGGCATTATGTAAAAATGTGAATGTGTAACCTATGTGATTCTGCAATCTGTATTTGGGGTAAAAATGGGAGTTCATAACTCACTTGAAACTACTGTTCGAAGTATGATATGTCAAGAGCTTTGTAATGTTGTGAACAACCAATAAAAAAAAAATCATAATACATTTTACATTTTTCTCATCTTACTTGCCTTGTGAATTGTTAATTGCCTTGCAGATTATCAGTTTACTGAAATAGAGGAAATGTTCTGAAATTAAATTGCAAGCATTTTATCTTCATAAACTAAAGAAATGCATAATTTTTGTCGTTCTATAATAGCTGACTATTGAGTTTTGAGTTTAGTTTTAGAGTAAATATACAAACTTATTATAATTTCAAACCTATGAAATAAACAGTTGGCATTATTTATTCTGTAATGTAAAGAACTCCCCAAGAAATTATAATGTGAAAATGAAACTGTAATTTTTGTTAAATATATTCACATGTAAATACTTAAGAGTAGCTTGTGAGGAACTAACAGTCAAAAATCATCAGTAAGCATTCTGAAGTAACAGACAAAATAATGTATTTAGGGACAGAATTACATTGCCTTAAAATTTTATTTATTTTTATTTCCAGACTTCCTAGCTTTAAGATAAATGAAAGGAGTTTATGAGAACTCTGTTTTATTGACTAGGTTGATAATATTCTTCATATTAAATGGTTGACATTCTAAATAGATCTAAAACAGGAAGAAAGCAGAATGGTCAGATCTGGTCTTTGTGCTTGAAGTGCTCATGCAGCTGAGCCTTCACAGGCCACGTCTGGTGAGAAACTATACCAATCCCCCATTTCCTCTGCCCCAAGATGGGGTGGCTCAGCAGAAGGTCCTCTAGAATTGCCCTGTTCTCAGATGGCTGTGGAAGAAGGAATTCCCCCATTGGAAATGTTTATATAACACTTCATTTTTGCCGTTCTGTAGTTGGGTGAGATAGATGCATCTGAAACTACTTTAACAAAATTGGTCCCATTAATCAATCTTTACTATTTCATATTTTGAACATTTTTCAATGTGATACTTAGCACATGTATACATGTTCTTTTCATTATAATAATTTTGTGTATTATTTATTTTTGATTAATTTTGTATGCTTCCATCAGATTTCAAATACTTCTAATTAAAAATAAGCCTTTCCAATGATTATATCTATTCAAAAATTCTCCTGGGCTGGGGTTGTGCTCAGTGGTAGAGCTCTCGCCTAGCACGTGTGAGGCCCTGGTTCAATCCTCAGCACCACATAAAATAAAATAAAGATATTGTGTCCATCTACAACTAAAAAAAATAAAATAAAATAAAATTTTCCAGAAAGGGTCTTTAATTAAAGAGGAATGGGTATTTTCTTCTTCTACCACCTATTTCAGACTTTACATAAGTGAGAAAACAATTAATGAATCCCCCTTTTCTTTCATTTATTTATTTGTTTGTTTATTTTTGGTTGTGGATAGGCGCAATGTCTTTATTTATTTATTTTTATGTGGTGCTGAGGATCGAACCCAGTGCCTCCCATGTGTGAGGCAGGCGCTCTACCACTGAACTACAACCTCTGCCCCTTCTGTGATGGAGATGATAATCTTACTCCAACTGTGATTTAACACAAAGAATGGATTGACTGACTGTTCATCCTGAATTCTCATTTCAGTCAGTGCTAGATGAGATGATGGTGGAACAAACAGACCTTGTGCGTTTGCGAATGGTGAGAATGTCCAACGTGCCAGACACGCTTTACATGGTCAGTAATGCCATGCCACAGTGTTGCCACATGATCAGCCATCAGCAGATGAGCAGCAGCCAATCAAGCCCACCTTCTGTTGTAGCCAATGAAATTCCAGGTAAGGCAATGCCTTTGGTGAGGCATTTATATTGAAATGAATAATCTTATCCATTTTTTTGTAATTGCTGATGTTTGAACCCCTAAATGTATGCTAATTGTTTCCACATTTCAGTACCCTTTATGCATTTATTCTCCTAGTTTTGTTTTATATTTTATCTTAAGTTAATAAGTGTGTGTAGGTTTTTGCACACACACCCCTACCTTTGTGACAGCCTTTTGGAAACTTTTTTGTGTTTCTAGACATTGCCACATGTGCTCTATGCAGCAGAATTGCCCTTGTTTAGAGAAATTCAGTTTTTTCATCACTGCAGGGCAGTTTGCACATGTGGACTTAATATCTTTTTTTTTTTTTT